CGTATCTTATTACACTAATAGCAATTCTAGACTTGAGCGCTTCATTTGAACTGTTCGCCATCCTAATGAGACCTTCTTCATCAAGCGCTGCTTAGAGTTCCATAAATATATAGATATCGGTTTGCTGATGAGCGTTTGATGCAAAAGTGGCTGTTTCCAAATTATGCTTATTTTGCCTTATGACCTAATTATTAGATTGAATGCAAATTTAATTGAAAAATGAAGGTTTTCAACTATTTTCAAAGTGAGAGGGTCATGCTGCTGGAATTGCTATTTTGCTTTGCATTCCAGTTTCTATATGAATACCTACAAATTTTTGCTGCAATTTTGCTATAGTTTTATCTGATGGACTGATTGTATCAGTGGTAGGCGCGCATTTTTGCATCTATTCAACGAATAAATGAATGAATAATTTGAGAAGCTATTTTAAAGCATAACTTCAAAATCTTTGTGGATTTTTGAGGATTTCCGTCTAGTCACCAAAACTGCATAATTTATTCTACACAAAAGTTGCTGTCGGCACGGTCAAAGGTAAAAAGCCAAAAAAGCAAGTCCCATTGCTGCTAACCAGAAAAAAAAACCTTGCACTTAGAGTTCTAGCAACGTTCACTATCTTAGGAAACTTTTCTAACATTGAGTTACGTTAACACAATAGTGCATAGCTTTTACTCCTCTTAGAGCTCAATTTTGAGTAGTAGATACATTTCTTCTAGATCACACTATATTTGAATTACAATAGATTTTCATGCCCAACATGCATTGAATTCACCTTCTCGATCCTAATTTTAGCAAACCGTTTGGATTAATCATACCCCCAAGGGGCTATTTATACCCTTAATGCATTCCTTTCGTAGAATAGATTGGCTCTGGCATTACACTTATATTTCATTTTAAAAAATTTCGGAAATAAAGTCCAACGCACGGCGCGTCGCATAAGTTCCATTCCGCACTATCCTTTCAGCTGCGCACAACAGAATCATCTAGGACCGCGCTGCGCATGAGAGCATCGAGTGCATCAGGAATAAGCCCCTTACGCTTCGGGTTTTGGTCCTGCTTCCGAAAGAGCTTGGAAGTGTACGCGAATCAACTTAAGCACTATAAAACCTCTTTTTAATCCTCATTAAGGTATGATTACCTAAATTTTCTCTACAATAGCGATTTTGCCGCCTTAGAGGCCTTTTTGCGTACATGTCCTCAGAAAAGCCTTGTCTTGTAATTAAATCTCTTACTATGATTGAATTTAAAACGTGTTCCGTTGTCTAATGCGCACTTGATTGAATGACTAGGAGATCTTGCATGATAACTGTTAAAAATTTGATGAGCGCAGCTGTGAATCCATCTCACATTCAAAATCAGAAGTGTTTTCCCAGTGACATCAGTAAATTATGCGCTGTCTAATTCTCACGGCGATCTATTTACGGATACTCTTCTTAGCGGCAGGCGGAAACCAATGTGATTTGAAAATTACCGACTGACAGCAGTGTCTATATCCATTCTCTCTAAGCCTTATTTTTGATGGCATAATTACAGACAGGTTCCTGTTTTAGACCTAGTAAACAGCTATAACTTGCCTGAAACGTAAGAAAGGAGGAATAAATTTTTTATTCCTGTTTGAGGTATAGTAGTTTTGTACGCGTAGTTGAATACGTCTTAGTTGATTGCCTATATATCTCGAGATGGTTGTGGCAAATTATTGTTTGTGATAAGTTGTCACAGTAGTACTGCCTGTAATGAGAGATATCTTTCCTTTGTTTAACCAAAACATTTCTTTCTTTTATTCATCCAATCTGTAACACGCCTTCTCTCCGCAACTCTTTCATCTTCCATTTTTCAAAAAACAAACCCTACAAATTCTCATGGATCTCGTTTATATTCAAACTGGGTTTAATCTTAGTAATAAGTTTGTCATCAAAAAACTTCATTTACAGTATTTAGCTTTGCACAAATAAAAAGGATATTTCTCTTAGCTCTTATTGCAAAAATTACTCATTTTTATCGTAATAGCAATAATCACCTTTCAAATAGTTAATTTTACAGTATCACTTCGACATGATGCAAATAAAGTCTCATAAGTTAAAATACTTAACTGTAAACATCCTCTAAAATTTGTTCTAAAAAGACAGTTTTGGAAACATCTCAATCATACATAACTTTAAATAGCGCACCCTCACATCGGTCATCTAGATGCCACGCGAAGGCTCTACGCTAATCACCTTCTTTGAA